TGTTTCCTTTAACTTATTTATTTTATTCTAAATATGTTTTGTAATTTTCAGATTTGACAAGTATGATTGTTTCCTCATCACTGAATGAACAGCGTAGTGTATTATTTGTTCTCAGCAATCTAACTTCTTCAAGGTGAGCAGACGACATCATGAAACTTTACAGTGACAGACCATGTATTTCATTGGAGGGGTCCAGAATGCATCCTTATTTTGAAGTGCAAAAATCCTTGGTACTCTTTTGAAGGGTCAGTCTGTACTATTAAGCAGTTTACTGAATGAAAGGATGTACAGTCAGTGTGATGTATTCATTCCTGGATGTCCTATCATTTTGAACCAGTTGTAGCTCAAGTGAGGTTAATCGCTGTTCACCAATCCCCTTCCCCAGAGCTTGCTTCCTACCAGTGCCTTGGCACATCCATTTTAAAGTGGGGAAAGAGGTTTTGTGAACTTCCAACAGATTTGTCTTACAGTGCAGAACTCCTGTAATTTGGACTCATTCCACCCCTTCACCATCCCCCGAAGTTGTCTTTCAGCACCAACGAATTAAGTTCCACTTTCACGCTGAAGTACCCTTACAGCAAGAAATCATCTCAGGACTTGAAGAAATTCTTTTGTGGAACAACTAACTGCCACCTCTAGATGTACGGCTTGTGTGTTTAGACGTGCAGATTAAACTGTCGTGCTTGTTGGCCATGTTTCGTCCAACTTTTACAACTATCCGGCAGAAGTAGACACAAGCTGTATTGTAGAAAAGTGTTGTGAACGTTGTCATCCTTTCACTCGGTAGATTAGCCATGTACTGTGTCTCTGGTTTACACTCGCACTTCCTGCAGGCAATGCATCTGAACTTTATCATGTTTGCCAGGGTTGTTTCACCAGTCATCCAGTATTTGCTTCTGACCTTGGTTGCTTTGTTGCAACTCCATAATGTCCACGCTCATGAACATTCTTGATGATCAGGGGACATGTGATGACTCTTGGGAAGTAGCACTGGATGCTGTCTGTCATAGGAGAGTTTTCTGTGATGGCCTCTTCCCCCATAAATATCATTCCGTCTTTTACAAATGGACCGAGTGACTTGAACTCTCCTTTCTTCAGTCGTTCATGAAGTGTCTTCTGTGCTTCCATCAGCCAGGGATTCTCTGTAGTTAACTCTGTGACCGTCAATGGTCCATTGTACATTCTGCGTTTAGCTTTCAGATTTGTTATTAAATGGAAGACGTGCACTGACACGCACCAGTATTCTCCAGTTGGAAAATTTGTTGCAGTCTATTGACTCCTGACCTTTCACTCCCTTTATTAGAAGTACGGTTTTCTTTTTTTCTTTTTTGTGTTTACTTCATTCTCATCTGCTTTGGGCAAGGATTTAGGCCATTTTTTCAGGCTCTTTCAAGAATTCTGGACCATTTTTCCCAGGTACACCCTCCAAGTCTGGAGCTTTGGTACCTCTTGATATTTTGTCTGCAGCTATGTACTCGCTCGGGATGTGTCTCCAGGTGGAAGGATCGGTTTGACTTTGAATTTCAGCTACTCTGTTTGCTACGAAGGGTTAAAACTGTGAAGACTGGCCACATATCCATCAAAGCTTTGATTATGCTGTCTGATAGAAACATGACTCTTTCGAATTTGGACGAACCCCATACTGGCGTTTTTTTTATGTAAAATTTGCCCAGAAGTCTTTGCAGTACTGAAAAACAGTTCATGTTGAATACTTACAGAACAAACTTCTAAGAAATTTGTTTCCACTTCTTTCAGTCCTCTGTAACTTAATTCGGATTCTTTTGTCAGGACTACGGGGTAGTTTTAATCATCTGCACAACTTGCTAGGTGTATTTTTACCGTTTATAACTGCCTTAAGTTGTCATAATTATCTAAGAACCCGACTTGATTGCTGTTTTTCACATTAGTTCCAACATTAAAATATTTTCCATCAAGATTAGAAACTGGTTTGCTGATTTAACATTCATTTGATATCTCAAAAATAACACTTTAGTAAGAAACTAATTCGTTATTACCATACAGAAAGTGGAGGCGAGAAATCTTGAGAACTCGGTTTATGTTCCGTCTTTCCTTTTCCATGTTACACCTGCGTACTAGATCATTAAACTGCTCAACCCTCTTTGTCACATGGCCTCATGCTTGGTCTAGGCAATGGTGGGATTTGATCTCAGGCTACAGGCTCCAATGGCAGATGGCCCGAGGTTGAATCTTGTCTGCCGTTTTGAGCACATGTCGTTTTTCTTTTGTCTCCATTTTTATCAAACATGAATTATAATAGAAAAACTATCAGTCTCTCAACAACATCCAAAACTGAAAAGAAAATGTACTTACATGAAAAGCGAAAAATTTTATTTTTTTCCAAGCTCATTTGTAAATCGTACAACAATTGACGGTTTGCAACAAGACATCATGCTTGTTATTTTACCATAAAAACTCTGAGTAGCAACATGGTTAACAATTTAGGATAGGTTTTTATTCATTTTAGATTTCTGGACACTTGAGAAATGACACAGTTTGGTATTATACACAGATTAAGACATCAAATGAAAGGGTGCTTTTTGCAGGGCATCAAGAGAGTCGTTTAAGACATGAAAATCTTTCCCAGATACTTTAATAAATGGGACCATAAACACACTGGTGTGACAACAATGACATCATCAGCCTAAGAGATTTCGGGGAGAATTCTGAGATGATCAGTTTTCAACTTTGACTATCGTTTAACACGTATCAGAAATATTGTTTTAAAAAATACTGCTACTTGACTGGACAGCTTGTTCTTTTTTCAAATTTTTTTATAACCATAACGCTGCTGTTATGTTCTTATAAATTTTATTTAATGAGTTTTCATTACTTTCGTATGTGGAGTCAATAAGTACATGTACATCACCAATAAGTATATCACTGATAAGTAATTGCTCACTTGTTTTTATTCTCTAGGTAGGACGGTCAAGTCAGATCAGGTACTGTTCTCTGCAGCAACCTGAACGGCACACCTGATGGATCTGCGTCACAGATCTTCTTGTCAAGAAGAGTTTGCCAGAGAAATCAATTTAATTCAACGAGTAAGTCAACTTTTTGTATTTTTCACTCAAAATGAGAAAATTCCAGCATTATTTGCTGGGAAATCCTCTCAATTTATTGCGACTTTGTAACACCTTTGTATTTAAGATTATATTTTTGGTAAAATATTGCATTGAAGTAAAAGCATCCTCTGCACCAGTCTCCCTCAAACAGATCGCAAACAGATCCATTCCTAACTAGTGTAAGACTAGTTTAAAAGTAAAGTCCTGGATATATTCCAAGAAATCCATTGTACTTGTATATTCAAAGAAGGTTCCAGTGACAGATTTCTTGCTGCAGCTCTGAGGCTTTACACTCAGTTTCTTCACTACATGTACAGGTTTAGACTAGTTTGCTGAGTTCCTGGCTATTTTTGAGAGATACTGGTGCTTTAAAACACTAATGTTTTACCAAACCTGATTAAACCTGTAACAAGTTACGTTTGCAGCATGTTTTTGTTAAAGATGCCCCAAATGCAAAAATGGTCTGAAATATTCTATAAACATTAACCCTAACACTCCTCAGTCCTCCAACAGGTGAAGGATTGAGGAGTGTTAGGGTTAAGTTACACTAACTTTTACACAGAACAATTCAGTTACAGTGAGGGATACTTTATCCTGTCTACAAATTTGCCAAAATGTCACAGAACATTTCTTAGCCTCATGGAACATCCCAAATTTATTTCAGTCAAATCTGTATGGTATAAAGTGTTATTTAATGAGTGAAGTTTTGATTACTTTTGTGCATGGAACCACTTGTACATGTAATTGTCCACTTGTTTTGTTTCCCCATGTAGGACAGTCAAGCCAAATCAGCTGCTGTTCTTTGTGGCGACCTGAACAGCACACCTGATGGATCTGTGTCAAGGAGAGTTTCTGGAGAAATCAATGGATTAAAAAAAAGTAAGTCAGTTGTTTGTGTTTTCTCTCAAAACAAGAAAATAATCCTTTTGTGAATTAAATTTTGCATAGCAACCACTATCTCTGGAATAGACTGGTTCATTTGTGCCCTTCATATCCATTGAGAACATTGCATTGTTGCAAGGCATGTCTTATGTAACTATAAGCAAAACCTTGCCCCGAATCATGAGGTATAAATACTGAAATAACCTCAACAAAATATATAAGTAAGGTCTCCAACATCTCAAGCCTTAATTTCAACTGACAACAGTGGATTTCAGAGCATAGGAAAAGCTTATTCATCCAACAATGTGATTATTCTTTCAGAGGGAATTTTGTTACAATTGCAGATCGACATGTGCGTGTGCAAGTTCAGATTTCTGTGCTACCTTTATAATAATTAAGTTTATGCTCAAAGTAGAATGGAATGGCACGCATTTCAATTCAACATCTTCACTAATCCACTTTTTATTCCTGAACTTTTTGGTAATTCAACAATTTGTTTGCCCACAGGTGTTCCAAGGTTTTGGCGGCCGTCTTGATCTACTCCTTGAACTATCAAGACATTCTTTATATAAACCTTGTTGGATGCTTATGAGGTACTGAGAACCGGATTGCATCATGTTTGAAGGAGATACAATGAAAGTGGACTGCGTCATTCCAATATTAATTCACGAGGAAGTGGCAAGACATGTTGCTGTATTGAACACTGTTCTTACTGGATCACTCTACTTCAGACCTTTGAGCTGAATTGGAAGGGACAGATCTTGACTTCAAACCTGAACTTTTATCCAGCTTACGCTGAATTGCATAACATTCAGTTATATGCGCTGCATTAAGGTAAAAGTAAATCAAGCACAGTTAATAGACAGTTTCCGCATCCAGGTTAATTCGTGTCTGTATACGTACGTACGTGTCTGTATGCAAACTTGTACGTACCCTGTGTATTTGTTGTGTCATGCGGATGCATGACACAACAAATACACAGGGTACGTACAAGTTTGCAAACATTTAGTTTGCCTTGAACTGCACGTCCCTACATTGCACACAGCAACGTAGAAACGTTGGTAGCGTCCATTTCTTCAAAACAAAAATTATTCACCCCAGATAGACATTGCTATCCAAACAAGCTATACATGAAGTGTCATGAAAGTAAAAACTTTTGTTATTAGGAATGCAATTTGATGCTAAATGTGGTGTGCAAAACCGAAATTTCATACACACCAGTTCCGTACAAAGTTGCTTCCAGATGTCACTGTGTGCAGGGCTTCTCCGCATTATGTTTAACAAGACATAACAGGCCTAAAGTGATGATGTCATAAGCAAAAAAGATATGGATACGTGATACATGCTCATTTTCTGTTTGCCAAAACTGTCTATTTGGGAGGCTTTCGTAGAAGACTGTTTTTTGCCTACACAAAAGTTTTGTAATAATGGGTCGTATGAATAAAAACTAGCAAATGCTATGAAGTTCAAGCAAACAGCAAATGCATTTACTGAGAAGTACAACCATTAAGAAATAAGCAAATGCTTTAATTTATGTGAATAAATTGTTTCTTTTACTATTCAGCATTTACTAGTGACCGCACAGCCGAATGGTTTTGCTCAATAGGGCTTCCGTTGTCTGCATGTACAGATGCAAACATTGCAGCTGAGTGTTGTATCTTGAGACCTCAGCATGGCAGATAAGCATGATGGCAGTACTTTTGATTGCAGAAACCTTAATGAAGAAATTTGCTCTGCAACTCTCAAATCGGTGCAACTGCCTGCATCTCGTTTCTTCAGATTCCCTCCTAAAGGCATATAGCTTTTCCTTTGGAATGACAACCATGAATGCTGCCATTTTGAACATTTGTAAATGCTCCTCGTTTTCAAGCTTGCTCTGACCCAGTCTTGAAAAATATCAAGTAAATATTCCAATTCTGTAA